CATTATCCATTTCTTCCCTTTCGGTTCTCTTATACGTTTGTGGCAGTGAAATGTTCTAGAGTTTCTCTCTAGAGTTGCGGGTAGCTGGTCAAGTTACAATGCCTTGTGGATGTAGCACCTAGGTAATCAAATACCTAGGTTACAAGGTGCTGACCTAGAGAGGTTGCAGCAAGAACTCTGGAGGAATTCTAGAATAGTTAACTGGGGGCGGGATAATGGACTAAAGAGCGCTATCCCCCCCCGTTACAACATGACTAAGCTGCCGCCCAGTTGGGTGGGTGTGGAGCAAGACTAGTAACCGTGTGACTCACCATAGATGTAATGTGTCTTGCATAGTGACCATTTTGAGCCTCTTGTTGAATCCCTTGATACAAAAGATTATCAATGTGTATATGTGTTCGTGTAAATGATTGTATATATAACATCAAGAACCGAGTAACTAGCTTCAAAAGATTGTTACTTGCTTAGCTAAATGAATTTGGGTTGTACCTGAACCGATTATGTGCCTTTATAACCCTTTCCACCACCACCTACAGGATGGGTACGGGGTGCATAAGAGAAATTGAATTGGATAGCAAAATTGAAATACAAGATAGTGCACAGTTCAGCTGTGAAGATGCTAGCCTCCAGAGGTAGCCGGTAATTATCAAAAGAAGGCACCAAGCCGGGAAGAATATGTAGACAGAATATCACGCACCATCAAATGTGCGGGATATTCATAGGGCATTAAATATCACTAAGGACGCCAATTTGAGAACAAAAACTCATAAGCTGAACGATATCAAAAGTATCATTCACCAAGAATACTATCGATGGACAAGTGACCACGAGGGACGGTACTTCTAGGACATGCAAGACATGCATGTCCTAGAAGTACCGACATTCAACAAAAATATGCACAACTGTAAGAGGGACAGTGCAGTTTGGACAAAAAGGGGCAGGGGTGGCGCTCCATTAAGTGCCCAAGAGTTAAAAGTGTATTTCCAATACATAACCTCGCAAGAGTAGTTCCCACCGCCCGTTACAGTGTAAATGCAAAAAAAAAAAAAAAAAAACTGAGCCTATATTCTTAGGACTAGTCAAGTACATGTGTACTATATTAGGCCCAAGATTGCATATTTAGCCCTAGGTAGAGTTATGAAAGTTCTAGCCAATCCATACAAAATGCAAACTATTGTAGAACACAGGGCTCATTTCATACATGCTGTGCTAGACACTGTAACGTTCATATTGGTTGTAGATTCCACAAGTGTATACTGTAGTTGCAGGACAATACACATTTCATGCAGTTTACTTTAGTCCCAGATTATTTCTGACTTAAGCTGTAGTGGCCTTAACCCTCTGGAGATTGGTAGACCCATATACTTTTGCAACCTTTCTAAGTTACCCTAAATTATAGTTTGCTCAGATACTCAAATGTTTTTTTCAGAAAATTGCTTACTAATTGTTTAAAAATTTTTTTAACTTTTTTTAATCATATCTAAGCAACTAGTTACTTCACTAGCACAAAAAATACCTTAAAATTGTTTTAAATGAAATTACATGAATTCTTACAACAATGATTTGAAAAGGGGGCAATACAGCCAGTCACTTCCAACTGAAGTCTTTGATACAGCAAGTGCAATTTCAGCGAGGTTAAACAAGCAAAGACTAGTACCTTCCAATGGAAATAATTATTCAAAGATGGTGCCAAGCCAGAGACTACGTAGTTGTTCCAATTTTAAGTTTCCTTAGACATATCAGAAGCCATGTCACTCCTTGACAGGCAGGATATGGAGATTATATTCTATAAATGCATGTTCGTCAGGTTTAGGTCTACTTAACACTTTATGCGGATCAGGACATTACCTGGAGTCCTGTTTGCCTAACCGCTTCCGCAATGTGGACATAAAATGTCCTCAAAAAAATATTTGTATAAAATTCAATTTTAATCCGATTTACTTTGGGTTTGTTTCAAACTGTGCGCCATGAGGTTCTCTTTCTCACCACTAGGCTGCATGGTACAATAAGTTCATGAAACGTGTGGACCACTTCGATCAAATGGTATTACCATTTTACCAGGAAAACTCACAAGTGGATCAAAAAGATAACGTTTTATTTCCTGCAAATGGCATTGCATAATGCCTTTGTTTTGTACAAAATACAACACAACTGATCAAAAAAAGCTAACATTGCTACAGTTCCACGAAGTGGCAATTTGGGCCCTATTGCGCTGGGACCCGGAAGATTGGCCTCAAACAGCAACAGTATCTCAACACTTGCGGCACGCTCCAGACATAAATGATGACACAGGTTCTGCCTATGCTGACACCATGCAAACTCCCGGACCATCTGGTGTGAGGCAGCCTTTGTTCACTTCAACACCTCAAGCTGAAGCAGCAACCGAATCGGAACCCGAGATGTCTGGCACACTGCCATTTGACGAGACGGTTTTGTCAGATGACTGACTCTGACTCAAATGTTGAACCTCCAGCGATTCAGTTGATTCTGAAAATCGCATGAACTACAAACTGAAACAAGTATTTTGATACCAGAATGAACACGGTATCACATAAACTGCCGTAAGTAGACTCGAACCTTCATAGATTTTTTTTGGGGTGTAGCGTGTGTCTGCATGAGTGTCCCAAACGGGTTGCAGGTGGGTGACTTTAGCCGTTTATACTGGTAATGCTTCCCCCATATGTATTATATGCATATGTCTGTTTAGGGAATTTTATTCCGATCAATGTACAACCAAAAATAACTGTGTGCAACAAGTATAAACTTGACAAACATAACAACAGTAAACACATTTTGTGTGTGTTTGACGCTCACTGATATGTTCCAGCGTTGTTTTATATTTGGCGCTATTCTATCTTACGCTTTGTTGATCTTTTTTACCTACGGGCTCATAGAACATTCTATTGCGAACACATTGGCACAAAAATGAATGACGTACATAGAATAATAATGTCAGGACAGTGAAATAAGTATAAACTTTCAAAGCGCCGTATCACACATGTGTCGTCGCGTCACCGATACCGGGTAACAGTTCCGCCACTTCCCACACTCTTGCGGGTGGGCGGCGACCATTATTCTACGTTTATATTCATATCACCGTGTTGGGAATTTCATTGAGAGTCCATTGATACCAAAATTAACGCTGTAGGACAAGTGTGGAGGTGATAACAATCCCAAGAGTAAAAACATTTTGTTGCTGTTGGGCGCTCACGGCGAGTCATCTACGTAGTTATTTGGTGCTGGTATCCCTATACCTTTCGTGACCTTTTTTACTGATGTTCTTCTAGAGAATTTTATTGCGAACACGTTGGTACCAAGATGAAATACGTAGCTCGAGAACTAAGGTCAGGAGAGTAAAAAGAGTATACACATTTTTTTTTTGTCGCTTAAGAGACAAAAACGCCGCGCGCACATACCAATTTTTTTTTTAACCTTAGCCGGGCGAGTGAAAGTGTTAATTAGCGTTCAACTTACTTTTTGCTGGAAAATGCGAACATTGTAAACTATCCTGCAACCAAATTAATCAGCCTGAAAACATTCAGGCCTGATAACCTCACGTTCAGCCTACCACAAGGTTGATCGTATCAATTGCACCAGAGCATATGCTCAAGGAGTATACACATTCTGTACACACATTCAACATGTTCAGAGGGTTCAGAAAATATTACAATGTTTTCAATGTAAAAAATTACAAAGAATTTAATTTCTCAATTCGAGGAATCTAAGTTTCATACTATAACATGAAACCCAGAAACAAAATTTAGTCAATTGAGGAATATAAAAATAAGAATGTTTACATCTTTTATTGCAGTATTTCAACATTTGTTGAATATTGACATTCTATCACTTTGGAAAAGGCTGCATGATATCTTATCACACTAGAACAGCTTACCTGGAAAGAGAGACCTGTTTTAACATTACAAGTTACCCAAAAATTAGTTTTGAACAAGAATGCTTATCAGATGGCCATTCTTGCTTTCTCCAAAACAATTACAGGAAAGGACTGAACAATCATCACTTTTAAAGTTTTATACAGGCAATGTTGGATCCTTCCATACTGCTTGCTTCTTATCCACTTGCAAAACCAATATTTAAATCAATATTATGTCTTCCTAGACTATGCAGCTTCAGGGGGCTGGTGAGTATAACCATAGAAATTGCTTCAGTTCTTGCATTTATGCCAGATTTCAAGGCTCATTTCTCTGCACTAAATACCAGCATGATTATGAAAGGGAGTGCAATAAAATATCAAGCTACATATTCACAAGGTGCTGAAATATCCACCCAGCCTCCTAGAACTCTCAGTAACTATTTGGTAGTAAATACCAACATAAAGTTGACTTATTATCAAACTAAGAAAGTGGAAACTTTTGAATTGCTACAATGCAAGACCCAACCCTAACTCTCCCAGCAATCCTAATATTTATGTTATCTTAGGCCATATATAATACACAGGTTGTTATATTAGGAATATTTAAGTGCAGTTTTTAAGCCTTTTTTTCTGGTCAATAAATGTACATAAGGTAGTTTAGTCTATGTACCAATAGACCAACGAGGTCTACATATTACTATTTTTGACCAAACGGTTCTTTTCAAGTACAATTATATTAGAATGGGATGAAATTAGCAAAGAGGTAAAATTTTAATACAACCAACCCTAGGTAATTATTGTCTGTTGTATTATTTTACAAGAAATTGCATTAACCATAATTAACCAACCTGAATTTTTTTTATTATTGGGCTGCACAATTAGCTTCAACTTTAAAATAACTGAATTTGGCTAAATTTGATTTTGGAATTTTGGTTTAGGCAACAGTTTGGGGGACAAGAGGTGTATTAGTCAAAAAGTTGCCACCCCCCCTTCTACCATAAATTAATTGGGAAAAATTGTTGTAAATGATGTTGACACAATCTTAAAATTTGTACCCATGGCCATATGTATAAACTAACTATACACCACAGCCCCCGAGCATTTTAAATTTAACATATTAACAGCCTACCAATTAGGAGGTCAGTTGAGCTGGGAGTAAGAAACTCGTGAAGTTTGACTCCAGACACTTCGGACAGTCACGCCAACACCACAACAGCTGCCTATCTGGAAAAAACATACCTGTTAACATAACACTACACTAAAATTTATTTGATAAAAGAATCATCAGATGGCCGTTCTTATTTTCTTCAAAAGGTATACAGAACAGGTCTGTGAACAATCATCACTTGTGTAATCAATACCAATGGCTCCCAATCAGTGAGTTGCAAATCCCTCAAGAGGGAAAGTGGGAAGTGTGGACTGTAGAGCATTAGAAAACAGGATCATACCACAGATTTATGACATCTATTTACAAATTAGTCTCAACACAGTTCCACTGCAATGCAATAGTTTAGACACGTTCAACCCTATTGCAGTACACAATGTTCCTGAACTATTTAGGCATCTAGTGCTATTGCATTTAAATATTTCAACAAGTCTTCAAAGATTGCACATTTACTACACAATACTGAACAAATTGGGACCACTTACCTCGAGCCCTAAACTAGTGTAGTTCCAGTTGGGGACTTGCAGCATCTAACAGCTCATTCCTGGAAAACGTGATTATATAAGACACTGTATAAAGTAAAGACATTTTACTCAAATGTTATAACCATTCAGAATATATTGAACATCACACTCTCAGACATATGCCTGCCTATATTCATCAAAAACAAAAGGGAAAAAAAAAAATTTTTACATCTATAAAACCATATAGATTACCCGCCACCATACAGTTCAGCACAACAATATAATCCAGATACATTAAGCACTTGTCAGGTGCATAAGTCCAAATTGGCACAAACAATGCTATACTTTTAACCTAGTCTAGTTCACTTTGCAAAATGTGCTCATACTAAATAGCAAGTGTAAAAACCTTAGAACATTCTTCGACATTTAACATTTAGTTCAAAATTTAGCATTTAAATTTTTTTACTTTAACTACGGGCTCTTATCAGAATAATGTTAACAAGTTATCACCTTCACGGAAGTGATGCTGTCACCATAAACTGCAACACTCTTTTACCACGACCTGCAGAAGACGTGTGAAAACGCTAGGTGCCAGACGCAGGTCGAATGGAAGGCAACGAAAATGGGTACCTTGATGCCCCATAACAAAACTGAGCCAGTCCCTGAACCCTGAAGAAAGCAGGACATGCCAATACCTGCTTGATACCTGCTTCATGGGGTTCTGGGAGTTCTTCTACTTCCCCAAGCCCAGCCCGTGGCCAGGCTTGACTTGTGAGAGTTTGGTCCACTAGGCTGTTGCTTACAGCGGCCTGCAGGCCCACATATCTACCACAGCCCACTTGGTCCGGCACTCCTTGGAGGAAACTATCTAGTTTCCTCTTGAAGATATCCACGGTTGTTCCAGTAATATTTCTTATGCTCGCTGGGAGGATGTTGAACAACCGTGGACCTCTGATGTTTATACAGTTCTCTCTAATTGTGCCTATGGTACCCCTGCTCTTCACTGGTTCTATTCTGCATTTTCTTCCATATCGTTCACTCCAGTATCTTGTTATTTTACGGTGTAGATTTGGGACCTGGCCCTCCAGTATTTTCCACGTGTATATTATTTAGATGCTGTATTGTGTCTATGTATGCCGTATATGTTCTCTGTACTCCCTCTATTTCAGCAATCTCTCCTGCTCTGAATGGGGAAGTGAGAACTGAGCAGTACTCAAGACAATAGCACAAGTGATTTGAATAGTACAACCATTGTAATGGGATCCCAGGATTTGAAAGTTCTCGTAATAAATCCTATCATTTTCTGGCTGCAGCAATTTCTGCTTGGTTATGCTCCCTAAGCGTTAGGTCGCCAGACATCATTATTCCCAAATCCTTTACATGTTGCTTTCCTACTATGGGCAAATTTGACTGTTTTGCACCCTGTATTATGTTTAACCCCTTAACTGCGCGGACTCCAAATATGACACCACCCCCCCAGTGCGCAGGCAATAAATTCTCTGGATTTTTTTTTTTTTAAAGTGTCAAAAACCCTTCCCTTAGTATGTTTATAGTAACAGAAGGTCGGAATTGTAAGTACTTCGGCTGCTATGGGGTCCATAAGTTCGCGCGTGACGACATCATTCCCTGGTCGTCCGTGGCGTACGCCCCCGGGGCCGGTAGGGTGCCTGCTGCAGGATGCACGAGTTGCTGCGAATATATTTTTGTTCATTTTCTGCGCACAGTTTCAAATACATTTTATTTGCTTTTACGTGCCAATCCTATGTATAATGAACACGTACACTATATTATGGCAGTAGAACATCCATACTGTTCGAAGACACTGTGTTATGTGCATGACATGTGTACACATATCTGGCACATATTTCCATTTTATCATGCTAATTTATGTATATATATAGTCTATTTACACATTATACACTATCACACACTATATACATTCACCAGCAACACACTCAGAACTCTGAGTGTCAGCTGCCACACCCTCACTCCTCCAACATCCAGTCTCTCCCCCTCACTCCTCCATCATCTTATTTGCCAACATTTCTCCTCCTACCATACTGTTAGTGTTAGTATTACACTATTTACACATGTTATGTATACCTATCTACATGTTTTATTCACCAGAACTATGCAAGTAAGCCGGTATTGTGTCCAAACTTTACAGTGGCCACCATACACTACATGAGAAATCCAACCCGTTCTCACACAAGCCAGCACATATATGACTTAATGCTTAAAGTCAATATGTTGAATGTGATTTAGTACATATGTGATATATTCCCAGTTACCTTTTTACCAAGGCCCAAACTCTTCCTCACGTTCGAATTTACGTCTCACAGTACCCGTCCATCAACGTAGATAGCAGAATAGTCGTGATTGGTTCAATTATAATGAAAATTGTAGTTTTCAGGTCCCACATGGGTTGTGAAATTTACCTTTTATTGTCCATGCTCTTATAATATTACAGATCAGCTATATCCTATTGAAGGCTCGTAGTTTTGTTTTGGGAAATATTAGTTGTTCTTAGTCAATTATAATAAGCACTATAAATTATTACATAGAATAACAGTGCTTCACCAATCAATATTTTATACCATAGTTTGTGCTTTAAAAATCTTTAACGAATGTTTTGTAGGAACGCTAACAGAAAACGATGTTACGTTGGAATGTTTATGGGGTAAACTACTTCAAACAGCATGGTATGGTGTCTACTATACCAAATATTGAATGGGTATAGGGTCCAATACCACCTGTTAGGTGGGTAAGGGGTCCAATACCACCCGCAGGATGGGTATGGGGGTCACATCCACCCACAGGATGGGTATGGGGTTTAATACCATCCACAGGATGAGTATGGCGTCCACTATCACCCACAGGATGGGTATGGGGCTCCAACCACCCACAGAATAAGTATGGGATCCAATAACACCCACTGGATGTGTATGGCGTCCATTGCCGCCCACAGGATTAGTATATAGGCTCCACTGCTGCCCACAGGGTCGGTAGAGGGTCCACTACCGCCCACAGGGTTGGTAGGGGGTCAACTGCCGCCCACAGGGTCGGTAGGGGGTTCACTACCGCCCACAGGGTCGGTATGGGGTCCACTGCCACCCACAGGGTCGGTATGGGGTCCACTGCCACCCACAGGGTCGGCATGGGGTCCACGACCGCCCACAGGGTCGGTAGGGCGTCCACTACCGTCCAAGGGTCGGTAGGGGTCCACTACCGCCCACAGGGTTGGTAGGGGGTCCACTGCCGCCCACAGGGTTGGTAGGGGGGGTCCACTGCCGCCCACAGGGTCGGTAGGGGGTCCACTACCGTCCACAGGGTCGATATGGGGTCCACAGGGTCGGTAGGGGGTCCACTACCGCCCACAGGGTCGGAAGGGCGTCCACAAGAAACTTTCTAAGCCAGCACATCAAAGAACCGACAAGAATGAGAGGAGAAGATGAACCAGCAATGCTTGATTTGATATTTACCCTAAATGAGTGGGATATAAGGGAAGTTAAGATGGAAGCGCCCTTGGGAATGAGTGACCACAGTGTATTGAACTTTGAGTACCTGGTAGAGCTAGGACTTATCTCCCCCCAAAAAGAACTAGGAATCAAAAGGCTGGCATACCGAAAGGGGAATTATGAACAGATGAGAAGTTTCCTAAGTGAAATACCTTGGGACACAGACCTCAGAGATAAGTCTGTACAGGGTATGATGGACTATGTTACCCAAAAGTGTCAGGAGGCAGTAAACAGGTTCATCCCGGCCCAAAGGGAAAAATCCGAGAAGCAACAGAAGAATCCATGGTATAATAGGGCATGTATGGAAGTGAAGAAACTGAACAAAAGGGCGTGGAGGAACTTCCGGAATAACAGAACACCAGAAAGCAGAGAGAGATACCAGAGAACCAGGAATGAGTATGTCAGGGTGAGAAGAGAAGCAGAGAAAAGTTTTGAAAATGATATAGCAAACAAAGCCAAGACCGAACCAAAGCTACTCCACAGTCACATCAGAAGGAAAACAACAGTGAAAGAACAGGTATTGAAACTTCGAACAGGCGAGGACAGGTATACAGAGAATGACAGAGAGGTGTGTGAAGAACTCAACAAGAGGTTCCAGGAGGTCTTCACAATAGAACAAGGTGAGGTCACTGTGCTAGGAGAAAGGGAGGTAAACCAGGAGGCCTTGGAAGAGTTCGAAATTACGAGAGAGGAGGTCAAGAGACACCTGCTGGATCTGGATGTTAGAAAGGCTGTTGGTCCAGATGGGATCTCACCATGGGTACTGAAAGAGTGTGCAGAGGCACTTTGCTTGCCACTCTCCATAGTGTATAGTAAGTCACTGGAGACGGGAGACCTACCAGAAATATGGAAGACGGCGAATGTGGTCCCAATATACAAAAAGGGCGACAGGCAAGAGGCACTGAACTACAGGCCAGTGTCCTTGACTTGTATACCATGCAAGGTGATGGAGAAGATCGTGAGAAAAAACCTGGTAACACATCTGGAGAGAAGGGACTTCGTGACAAATCGCCAACATGGGTTCAGGGAGGGTAAATCTTGCCTTACAGGCTTGATAGAATTCTACGATCAGGTGACAAAGATTAAGCAAGAAAGAAAGGGCTGGGCGGACTGCATTTTCTTGGATTGTCGGAAAGCCTTTGACACAGTACCGCATAAGAGGCTGGTACATAAGCTGGAGAGACAGGCAGATGTAGCTGGTAAGGTGCTCCAGTGGATAAGGGAGTATCTAAGCAATAGGAAGCAGAGAGTTACGGTGAGGGGTGAGACCTCCGATTGGCGTGAAGTCACCAGTGGAGTCCCACAGGGCTCTGTACTCGGTCCTATCTTGTTTCTGATATATGTAAATGATCTCCCGGAGGGTATCGATTCATTTCTCTCAATGTTTGCGGACGATACTAAAATTATGAGAAGGATTAAAACAGAAGAGGACTGTTTGAGGCTTCAAGAAGACCTAGACAAGCTGAAGGAATGGTCGAACAAATGGTTGTTAAGAGTTTAACCCAACCAAATGTAATGTAATGAAGATAGGTGTAGGGAGCAGGAGGCCAGATACAAGGTATCA